CCGGACAACTCCGCCACCGACAGGTACTCAAAGTGTCCCGAGATGATGTTCAACAGGTCAGTGGATTTTCCAGTGACTCCCGAGTGTTCATCAGCAAACGACAGGCAGAGAACATTGCCGTCAATGATAATGATGATGATGTGAACCCGTCCTTTGCCCACTACTCACTCGTTCTCGACGTGGGCACTGATCTGCTGCGAAAGACACGCATCGACCACAAGACAGGCCGACTGAAGATGAAGTTCGCCGGGGGAGAGAGAGTGCGAGCTCATTATGCCCTTTCTCCCATTGTCCGCCTGAACGCTGCTATGGTTCGCTTTATGGCGAGAGAGCAGTTTCCACGTCAAGGCGACGGTTTTCTCTTTTGAAGGAAAAAGATAAAATGGTAAAACAACTCTTTTGGAAACTTATTTTTCGTGTGTAATACTTAAGTTGGTTGCTGTTTTTGGTTGTTAGATATGTTTAATTGTGATCAATTATGATTTTGTTGAATTTTGTCATGAGAAATGTTAAGTTGAGAAAAATTTTATTAAATTCAATACTTGAAAACTTAGATTATTACTCAAAAAGTTTCAGAAAACTCACGAATGAGACAAATCTAAACAAACGACACAAAAAAGTTTACAAAAACTAAACAAGTTTATTTTGAAGCAACGTTAAGCCAAGGATGACGTTGTATGTTCTCCAATGTGGGGCGATTACAGGGGTCCAGAGCCAGATACTTGCAAATCAGATTTTGACATTTGACAGACGGAGCTGGCTTGTTCTTCTTAAACATCACATTTGCGTTACTGATCTCTTTTATGTTTTTAAATGGATGCACTCCAGTGATCATTCGGTAGAGCAGCGCGTCAAGAGTCCAAATCTCCGCATTGATGCCATTGTACTGCTTAGATCGAAACCATTCTGGTGGCGCATATTTGAGTGTACCGGAAAAATGATTAAAAATAGTGCCAGTTGAAGTTGTATCTATATGGGCAGAGTAACCAAAGTCAATCAGTTTCAAAGTCATGGTCACTTAATCGATTAAAAAATTGCTCTCTTTGAGGTCTCGGTGAATGACTCCTGCGTTGTGGCAGGCCGTCACTGTTTCAACTATTTGGCGAAAAAAGTTTCGAGCAAGTTCTTCATCAAACAGGCGACCAGCTTGCTTATTGCGAAATTCTTGTAAACTAATTGAATTGAAAAGCCGCTTCATGGCCAATGCGTAACGTAGACCATTTTTGAGCAAGGTCCAGTCTAACCGGCGAATTGCGCCCGTCACGTGGGCCACCTTTTTGAGAAGTGCAACTTCTCGTAGAATCCTTTTTCCATCAGTAGCTATATTCAAAAAATTACCGTTGATATTTTCAATCATTTTGACAGCAGCCTGCCAGTTAGTAAAGAATGGTAATTAGAAAAGCGTGTTTTCAATTGTTGAGTCGCACAATCAACTGACGGAAATATGGTCAGTAGCACAAAAAAAAGCTGTAAACTGAGCCGTTTCCACCGCTGTCAATGAGGTTTCTAGGGTTAATTTCGTACAGTTTTATAAACTCGGTCGGGTAGATGCTGTCATTTTCGCTTGAAATTATAGAAAACATTTTAATTTTGACAGTAGTTTACTTAAGTGTTTAATGACAGAACACCATTGGTAACAGCAATGATAAATGTAAACTTTTTGAATGTCTGCCACTAGCAACAGCACTGATTGCACATGAGCTTAAGAAAATAAAAAAAATGTAAATAGAAATTTGAAAAGGACACATTTTTAACCATTACCAATGGCCAATAAATCATTTCATTAATTTTTTTTAAAATATTAAAACGTTTTTTTTCTCCTTTAAACTGTTTAGAATCATTTTTTTGTTTTTTATGATAATCAGCAAATGCTGCCACTAGCGCTTTTCAGTGACTAACCCTGTTTTTGCTGGCACACGTTTGTCACTGAATGTGATCTCATCGGTTGCCCCCTCTCCTTTAGATTGCTTATCTGATGCTGATGATGATGACCGGTGAATGTCACTTCCCAGCGGACAGACTGCACATAAAGGCAGCAGTTCATCACTGATAGCCGCATTCAGTCGAAGCTGAGCTCTCATCGCGTTCACATCACTCACTCATCCATTTCTCACTTGTTTGCTTTTTGTTGACAAATCTTGGCTCCTTCATTGCTATCTAAACATGTCAGAGCGCAACCCTTACGTCTACCGCCGCAAGCCCAATCGCTTCCATAGCAGCGTTCCCTACGCCCGAGTCACTGGCGCCCAAAACTCTGCCGCCAACTCTGACCCAAAATCACAGCTGCCCAGGATGGTCGTCCGTTTGGCTGGCGAAGAGGTCATCAGCAAACACGGGTTGACCGATCTGCAGGCGATGCCGAACAGCCCCAAACGGCCGTGGGTTTCACTGGATCAGCTCACCGGCCGCATCTGCCCGGTCTGTCAGCTGTCGACGCCTCCGCTGACCACCGAGAAGATCTTCGCAGTGACCGAATGTGCCCACATTTTGTGCTACGAGTGTGCACTGCGACTGCACTTTACCTCATCGAAGCCGTCCGCCGAGGGCATCGACTGTCCCACCTGTGGTCAGCCCTCCAAGCAGGTCATCCTCACGAGAGAACAGTTCGCCAACGTCGACCAAGTGAAGGCTTTTGCCCAGCGTTGGTGGACGTCTCTGGACACCACTGGTCCCACTGGCCAATGTCCTACTCCTATGGTCAACTTTGACAGCCTGGTGCTCTTTGAGCCGACCTTCAGCGACGACTTTTTGCCCCTCCTCGACGCTCTGATGAACATCAAGTGCTACCGCTGTGACCTAGACGCGNGCCTGGACGTGCTCCGCTGCTGGGGACCGGTCAGACAGAACTGGCGGCAGTTTGAGAATCTGTCGAAGCACTTGTCAGTATCACAATTGATGGTTGAGATTGGGTTTTAACTTTATCTTTTCCTTATCAGCGAGCAACACCGAAAGGATCGCCGCACTTTCTGCAGACTGTGCTTCCTGCACCTGAAAACTCTTCCCATAGAGATGAAGCTGTACAACATCAAAGGCAGTGAGGACATCGATGAGACTTACGTGGATCACCTTCGCTACGGTTCNGGAGATGAAGCTGTACAACATCAAAGGCAGTGAGGACATCGATGAAACTTACGTGGATCACCTTCGCTACGGTTCAGCGGAGTTGGATGGCGTCTTCATCCATCACCCTCGCTGTACTCTCTGCTTT